GAGTGTGGGTGGAAGTGAACAAGGTCTCTCTGCTGGCTCCTGATTGCTTGGTTGCCTCTGCCCTCTGCTCTGGTGGAAGTGGACCAGCTCTTTCCCAGGAATGCACGAATGGTTCCACATATGAAAATCTATCAATGTAATTCACCATATAAACAAACTTCAAAAGAAAAACCACGTGATCATCTCATTTGATGCAGGGAAAAAGTCTTGACAATATCCAATACCCCTTCATGATAAAGAACCTGGAGTGATCAGGGATAACAGGAACATACCTGAACATAATAAAAGCAATATACAGTAAACCAACAGCTAACATCAAACTAAATGGAGAGAAATTCAATGCAATTCCTCTCAAATCAGGAACAAGACAAGGCTGTCCTCTCTCTCCATATTTCTTCAATATTGTACTTGAAGTTCTAGCAAGAGCAATAAGAAAAGAAAAGATCAAGTCAATACAAATTGGAAAGGAAGAAGTCAAACTTTCACTATTAGCACATGATATGATAGTTTACAGAAGTGATCCAAAAAAACTATACAAGGGAACTCCTACAGCTGATAAATACCTTCGGCAAAGTGACAGGATAAAAGGTTAACTCATAAAAATCAGTAGCCCTATTATATACAGACGATAAATGGGCTGAGAAAGAAATCAGAGAACCATCACCCTTTACAATAACCCCAACCAATATAAACTATTTGGGGATAACACTAACCAAGAAGTGAAAGACCTGTACAGCAAGAACTTTGAGTCTTTAAAGAAGAAATTAAAGAAGATACCAGAAAATGGAAAGATCTCCCATGCTCTTGGGTAGGTAGGATTAAAATACTAACAATGGCCGTCTTGCCAAAAGCAATCTACAGATTCAATACAATCCCCATCAAAATACCAGCACATTTCACAGACCTTGAAAGAACAATTCTCAACTTTACATGGAAAAACAAAAGACCCAGAATAGCCAAAACAAGCCTGTATAATGTAGAACCTCTAGAGGCATCACCATCCCTGACTTCAAGCTCTATTATAGCTTAGTTTGCCAGTGTCAGGTAACACAGTCACAAAAAGACAAGCATGGTATGTAGTCACTAATATATGGATTTTAGGCATGAAACAGGGGAGTGCCAGCCTACACTCACAATCAGAGAGTCTGGGAAACAGGAAGAGGCCACTGAGAGGTATACATGGTAAGCTAGAGAAGGGAAACAGGACAGAATCTTCTGAAGGGATTGGGAGCAGGGAGGGGGAGGAAGCAGGGAGAAAGAGAGGGGGTTAAGAGGAGGGGAGAGAAGGACATGGGGGAGCAGGGATTTTGATTCTGCAGAAGAACAGAGGAGAGCAGGATGAGAGATACCATAATAGAAGGAGCCATTATAGGTTTGAAGAGAGATCTGGCACTAGTAAGATGTTCAGAGACCTTCCAGGATGACACCAACTGGCAAACTAAGCAATAGTGGAGATGCTATCTTAAATGCCCTTCCCTGATAACATGATTGACAACTTCCTTGTGTGCCATCCTAGAGCCTTCATCCAGTGGCAGAGGCAGACACCTGCAGCTAAACACGGAACTGAACTCCAGGAATCCAGTTGCAGAGAGGGAGGAATGATGATCAATGGGGGTTAAAACCACAGAAACAGCTGACCAGAACAAGGAGGAGCTCATAGACCCTAGACTGATACCTGAGAGGCTAGCATGGGACTCATCCAGAACCCCTGGATGTGGGTGTCATTGAGGAGGCCTCAGCATTCAGCATTGGGCAATAGATCAGCATTTAGCCCTGTCGTTCAGATGGACTTTGGGAGCCTACAATCCCAGGGCCAGTGAGTCTGGGTAACATGGAGGTTCCCAAGAGATATGCATTATACCCCAGAGAAGTGGAAAGAGGCAAGATCTCCTGAGCAGATTGGGAACATGGGGGAAGAACAGAGGAAACCAGGAAAAAGAGAGGGGGATAGAAGAAGACATGGGCGAGCAGGAAGCCTGAGTCGGGGTATGAATAGAGGAGACCTGGATGAGAGATACCATAATACTTGAAGTCATTATAGCTTTGAGGAGAGAGCTGACACTAGTGAGATTCCCAAAGATGTACAAGGATAACACCAACTGGAAAACTAAGTAATACCGGAGAGACTACATTAATAGCTGCTACCTGATGATAAGGTTGGTGACTACCTTATGTGATATCCTAGAACCTTCATCCTGTGACTGATGGAAGCAGAGACAGATACTCACAACTAAACACTGAACTGACCCCCCTGGAACCCAGTAACAGAGTTGGAGGAGTGATGAGCAAGGCGGTCAAGACTGTGCTGGTGAAACCCACAAAGACAGCTGACTGGACAAGGGGGAGCTCTTGAACCCCAGACTGATGACTAAGAGGCTAACAGGGGACTGATCCAGACTCCAGGAATGTAGTGTCAATGAGGAGGCCTTAGAAATCACTGGGGCTTTGTGTAAGACTAGTGTTCACCATGGCATTCAAATGAACTTTGGGAGCCCATTCCACATGGAGGGATACTATCTCAGCTTGGACACATGGGGAAGGGCCTAGGTCCTGCCCTGGATGAAATGACAAACTCTGGAGATCCCCCCAAGGAGGGCCTTACCCTCCCTGGGGAATGATGTGGGGATTGTGCTGGGGGTGGGAGGATGGGGTGGGGCTGGTAGAGGGAGAAGGGGGGGAGCCGGGATAGACATTTGAAACATCCATGTTTCTAATTTAAATAAAACATACATAAAATAAAAAAATGAAAAAAATCTAAAGAGAGTTACCAAATAATAGGGGAAACAATGCCCTAACTAAACCTCTACCACCACCAAGGGAAACATCTAATGCCAAGAAGAGGTAGCATCTAGTTAAGCCATTGTCTAAAGGGGCCTGATGTAAACACCCAAACATCTCAGACAATTAACAAGGTTGTTGTATATTCTCTATACACTGATGGTAAGGCCATATTGCTGAAGGCAACACTTCTATATCTTAATGAACACAAAGAAGTAGAGCTGGTGCCTTACTAGAGCCTTTAGTCCAACTGAACAGTGTCCAGGGTACTTGGAGGTACTCTGCACACTACCAAAAAGAGAAAGGGAACCAACAACCTAGCTAGAAACCCTTCAATCTTCAAAGATGACCTGTCTTTATAATATGCTGATGGACTAGTGGCACAAGTGTTATGGGAGTAACCAATCCCTATGTCTGGATTTAAGACATACTGCATGAGACAAAAACCCATGCCTGACACTGCTCTCATGGCCAAGAAACTTGACACTAGATAGGCCATGGACCTAGGAAAAAAATCAAAGACTATTGTTCTGCTAAAGGAACATAGCAATACAATGGCTTCTAAAAGCATTCTGCTATATTCATAGGTAAGTGTCTTGCTGAACATTCATCAGAGAAGCTTCTTCTTATAGAAGTTGGGGACTAACACAGAGACCCATGTGGTAACATCTTGTTTATACAAATAAACCCTGTCTGAAGATCAGAGAATGGAACTTGCCACTAGCTATCCACTGAGGTCTGGAGAGCTGTATAGACAGATAGGAAGTAAGATGGTTGACATTTATTTATATAAACAAGAATATCACCACAGACCCACAACTGGACAATATGCTGAGAGTGCAATACTTTGGAACAGTCCTAAATGGAATGTTTTTATCAAACCCCACTCTCTCGGGGACCTATGCAAAAGAAGAGGCAGAAAGATTGTAAGAACCAGAGGCTATAGATGACACCAAGGAAACTGTCTTCTAGACACAACAGGAATGACATGCTAATAAACTCACAGAGTTTTGACAACATTTACATGTCTACACAAGTTAAAGTTAAATGCAGTCCCAGTGCTGAAGGGAAAGTGGACACATGTTCCCAACCTAACTAAAATTCTATCTCCTATTGACATCTGTTTGCAAATGAAAATTTGTTTCACTACAATGTAGTATATTAACTACACTTAAGGGCAGGTCCCATGCACAGTAGAAGATGGGCAAGCCAAAATGAACTCAATCTTACTTTTGCATTCTTTTTGTCTCATATTTCTTTGTTTGGCATTTTTGTCTTATCCCCAAGTAAAGAGCTACAGGAAAGTATTGACTGCTGAGAAAGAATAGGTATTCCCTAGGAATGGGGAACCTAGCTGGTTATTAAATACCAGTTGGTCACCATAAGATTATATACAAATGAGCAATAATAAATATAATCAGCAGGATATGTATACAGATTTATTTATGTATATGTGTAAAACAATAATAAATAAAAAGGCCATGAGTTTGAGAGGGGCGAATAGGTTAAGCATTAGGGGAGTGATAGAAGGATGTGGAAATGATGTAAATATAGTACATATACGTGCAATTTTAAAATAAATAATTAAAAATGAATAGTTAGGACTGATCCAGACCCCCTGAATGTGAGAGTCAGTGAGGAGGCCTGGGCAACCTATGGGGCCCTGGGCAGTGGGTCAGTGTTTATCGTTGGCATTCAAATGGATTTCGTGTGTCCATAACACAAAGAGGGATGCTCTCTCAGCCCAGTGCCTGGATCCTGCCCTGAGTGAAATGACAGACTATAGATATCCCTTTTGTGGAAGGAAGTGGCAATAGGTTGGGAGGCTGGGAGGGTTGGTGGGGAGGTGTGGGAGGAGGGGAGGGAGAGGGAACTGGGATTGACATGTGAAGCAAACTATTTAAAATTAAAATAATAAAATAAAAAATGAATAGTTTTAAATTTTTCAGCACTTTATTTTTACTAGACAAATTGTCTACCTATCCCATTTTTAAACTTAATAAATATCTTTGCATTAAGAAAAGAACATGTCAAGGGTAGAACAGCTTGAAATTTGTAAAGTTAATGTCAGAACCAAAACTACTTTTTTCATAAACACATGTAAAAGCAATCATTGGCACAGTTTGAGAATTAAGAAGAGTTAACAAGACATTTGATTTCCATATGTTTTCTGGAATACCTTCTTTCTCTTCAAGGAAAGAGGCATCCATTATTCAGTGGAAACAAATAGACTGATACAACAGGTGGTGATTATCTGAATGTACTCAAAGAATTTCTAACACAAAGCCCTTTAGGGAGACTGGCTGTTAGGAACAGTCCTCACTTGGGAACTTTATATCACAAGCAGGACATCTATATTGATTTTCTAAAACCCAGGAACTGACAAAACCCTTTCCTGATTGCTATCTTCATCTCTCTGTTCCTGAATGTATAGATAACTGGATTTAGAAAAGGAGTCAAAACTGCATCAAATATAGCTAGAAATTTATCTACATGTGTTGAAGGAGCAGGCCATACATAGAAAAAAATCAATGGGCCAAAAAACAAAACTACTACCATGATATGAGCCAACAGAGTAGAAAGGGCCTTAGTTGAATGTCCTAAGGAGTGCTTCTGGACAGTGATGAGGAGGAAGATATAGGAGATGATGAGTAAAAAGAATGCAACCAAGGAAATGAACCCACTGTTGGCAGTGACCATGAACTCAAATTTATAAGTATCTGTGCATGCAAGTTTGAGAAGTCGTGGTATGTCACAGTAAAAGCTGTCCAATATGTTAGGACCACAAAAGGGCAAGTTTATAACAAAAGGCAACTGGGCTGATGAATGAATGAGGCCAATGATCCAAGCAGCCACTAATATTAGCAAGCATATCCGTGGGCTCATGATGGTCAGATAGTGGAGAGGTTTGCATATGGCCACATACCTGTCAAAGGCCATGGCTATGAGTAACACCATCTCAGTACCCCCAACAGCATGACTAAAAAAGATCTGACTGATACAGCCTCCAAAAGAGATGACTTTCTGCTTTCTAAAAAGATCACAAATCATTTTGGGTGCTGCAATGGAACAAAATATAAGATCAATAACAGAGAGATTTGCCAGTAGAAAATACATGGGTGAATGCAAGTAGGGGTCAGAAGTGACAGTGACAACTATGATGAAGTTTCCTGTCAAACTGGACACATAGAACAAACAGAAAAAGAAAAAAAGAAAAATCTGGATCTCCCAGGAGTTTGAGAGCCCCAGTAGCACAAATTCAGACACTGTAGATTGGTTTGCTCTCATCATGGGCCCAATTCAGGGGTTCACTTCATTGTTACCTAAAGGAAAAATAGGAAAATGTTAAGATTAATAGTGTATTCATAATCACTGTGAAAAGGTATATTAACCATGGATGGCAAATATTACCTGAGCGTTTCACAAAAATTGAATTGCATTCTGTTGGCCACTACTGCTCTTGTTACAAATGGCAATCAAAGCATTACTGAAAAGAAGAGCTGCTGCAGAGATCTCTAACACATGAAATTGTAAGAATTCCCATTGACTGGTATACATGTTGCACCTGATCAAACACAAAAGCAAGAGTATTTTATATTGATTTGCTGAGTTAGTGTATTCAATGTTAAACACCCTGTCTCTGTATTATAATTTCAGAGATATCATTCATTATTACATTGAAATTAAATAGCACCTCTTCTGTCACATCCTCCACATGAGCATATATTCACACATTTTATATCTGATACTCTGTCTAAATAATACTGATTATTTTAAAAAGAATGATTTTTGAGCAAATTAATGATTTGGTTGAGAGAAATCATATCTATGAATTGATCCATTCATTGTGTACCAAGAAACATTTTATATATTAGCAAGTAGAGATAAAAGCAAAATGTATGTTTACAGTTATTAGTATAAAATTAAAAATAGACATTTAAATTAAGAGACCAGATTTCAGGGCCGGGCGGTGGTGGCGCACGACTTTAATCCCAGCACTCGGGAGGCAGAGGCAGGCGGATCTTTGTGCGTTCGAGGCCAGGCTGGACCGATAGCCCCCGAAACAATACAGAGAAACCCTGTCTCGTAAAAACCAAAAAAAAAAAAAAAAAAGAGACCAGATTTCACATGATGGTTTCATTCTGTAGGACACTTAAGCAAGGAGCACCAGGACAGGATTAGGAATGTGATTCTAAAGTAGGACTCATGACACAGTTCTTGCTCATCACTCAAATGAGAAGAAACATGAGAAAAATGAATGAACAGTGAACAAATCATTGAGCTATTTGTGGAGATACTATTTCATGTAGTCCCAACAGCAAAAGCAAGAACCCTAAGGTGTGAATTTTACAGCAATGTCCAAAGAACCAAACAGAGGTAAAAGAGGCTAAATGTATGGGAAATGAGGGTAATGTAGATGAGGTCTAAGAGGCAATGTGGACAAATGTCTTTTAAGCCTTGATAGGCCATTATAAAGGCATGCTATCAGAATACTTCAAAATCCCATATCTAAATGGAATCACACAGGCTTGTCTATAAAAAAGGGCAAAATTATCAACTAAAAAATCAAAATGCTAAAACAATAAGAAAATCAGGTGGTTTTTCTAAGCATTAAAATTCACCTGTCAAAACAACTTTTCTATTCATCAAAAATAATATAACAATGTCTCCAAGGTTTCAGAGAGTAAAAACTACTATGTATTTCATGGCTATTGTAAATTCTCTTTTATGAATACTTTCTGGAAAGAGCAGCGAGTGTTTGGGCAACTGGAATTTCCATGTTAGGAAAGTATATTAAGCCTAACATTTTCCAACAGTTATGAAAGGAATTAAATAGAGAGACCAAAAAATGACAATTGAGACTGATAACCTAAAAAGGAAAGAAGGAAGGCAAAGTACTGAATATATTGGAAGATACTGAAATGACATGACTTGTGTCTTCTGAGTCTCGAGACGAGAGTTGGCCCTGGAGTGCTCAGAGATCTCAGAGCACCTTTTGTTCTGAGTAACCTGAGCTTATTCTGAAAGAATATTTTGATTATTTTTGTCTTCCAGTACATCTATCCGTTATAATCCTGTCTTCTTTTCTTTATTTTGTTACTTAAAAACCATGAATGTCAGAAACCATGACTCTCTAACGTTTCCTTTCTAAAAATCATCCTATATTGTGGATTTGCCTGGACTTAGTCTCCTAGAACAGATTCTTGCCTACTTGAAGTTCATACTTAAAGAAAATAAAGGAATTGGTTGCCTCAGTTATAAATCAGAAAAGTCAGATTGCTGTCCCCATGCACACCAAGGAGATATCTAATTTTTACTAAAAAATAGTATTTAGGAATACAATTTTAATCTTTTGAGGCCATTTGTGTTCCCCATCATTTTAATAGTGCATATTCCTCTGCCCTTAGAAGAACTATAAGGCCAAATGTTTAACATGTGACCATGTCTGTTTTTCCACAAACAAAAAGTGTACAGATGATATGAAACATTCTGGTTTTTTGCCAGCTTTCCTTCCTTTTTAGGTTATCTGTCTCAAGAATTATGCAGTCAAATTGTTACCCATTCCCTCATATTTTTCATAATGTCAATCTCTATGTCCCTGTTTCTGCATTTGTATTTTTCCCTCGATCCTGTCTAATGTAGTTTTTGTGTGATAATCCAAATTAGAAAGAAACAGAAAACAACTGAAAGCTCAATAAACATTCATAACAAAGTCTTGATTTTCCCATTGAGTACTCTTTTACCAATTTTTATATTTGTAATTATAGGGTTCCAAAATTAGACATGCAGGAGAGAACTTAAAATGCCTACAATTATTGTACTTCTAATTTATGTGTCTATCATTTGGATTTGTTTCAATAAAGGTCACAGAGAACTGAAATCTATCAATTATTTCTACTTAACTTTCCTGTGAGCAGCATGAAAATAAATCATCACAAGTAGTCCTGACTTTCAGCTTCTATATGTTATGTTCTTACTTTGATTTATGAAGTGGTTAATAACCAAAACCTTTACTAGATCGTACTTCAGCCTCAAAAAATCCTCACCTATGCTGAAGGCTTCAGATTGTTCTTAAATAAAGGCATATTTTTTTACTACAAGGCAAAATTCAATGTCTGTTATTTGGCTTTCTCCATAATTTACAGTGTGTTATTAACATATATATATATATATGTAGAGAGAGAGAGAGAGAGAGAGAGAGAGAGAGAGAGAGAGAGAGAGAGAGAGAGAGAGAGACAGAGATTATATTCTGCCACTAGGCTGGTTTTCTGAAATTAAATTGAGAGACTTGTCCATTTTTTTGATGTCATGTTCCCTTTCCATTTTTCACCTACCTGTTTCTTAAAGGCAGTATCTTCCAGTCAGAGAATTCCCTAATAACTGAGTTTTGGCATTGACAATTGCTATTCTAGAAAAAAGCAGAGTGAATAAAACGGGACATTAATTAAGAGAGTGGAGACTAATGACCAGGTATTGATGGAAAGCCTAGATTTGCAAACATTGCTCATGTAACCCAGGGAATTGTCATTGGAATCCAATTTTTTTTAGTGAAAGTGACAAATGAAAATCTAATGAGTCATTAGAGAGGAAATAAAACTGAAACAGCCAGGTCTTAGACTATCACCTTTGCTGTTTTTATTTGTCAATTCGAACTTGATCACTGAAGACTCAAAATGAGGTAGAGTGCTTAAAAGTAAAAATATTAAAAATCATATAAATCTCACTATATAATTCAATGAGCATATACAATCCAAAACAATCCAAAAACAGTTTAGTTTCTTTTGCATTACAAACTATCTACAATTCTATAATCTCCATAATCATGCCAGAAGTTATCTTGGTAAAGGCTGCCAGATTGTAAATTCCTTGAAAGTAAATACTTATTAACTCCACTTGTTCTCCAAGTTCATGAACCTTCAAGGCCCCCAAAAATTTGCAAGCACGGCATTTTAGTCTATTCTGGATAACAGTGTTCTTAAAGGTATGAATAGTGCAGAAGAGGAGAACAGAGAAGAAGAATGTGTAAGTCTACATCTAAGCGTCTAGGCACACTTCCTACAGGAACCATCACTTTGCGGGGAAGGGGGGTCATGGTTTTTATTTATTTATTTTCATTTTTTTACTTTTTATTTCATTTTATATTCCAACAACAGTTCTCCCTCCTACCCCTCCTCTCACCCCATTCACCTCCCCCTTAGCCCACCCCCAACTCACTCCTCCTCATAGGTGAGGGCACCCATGAGGAGTCAACATAGTCTAGCACAATAGGTTGGGGCAGGTCCAGGTCCCTCCCCCATGCATTTAGAGTGAGCATGGCATTCAACAGTGGAGACTGGGCTCCAACCATCACTTTAATAAAGACATGACATTTTTAGCTAGGAGTGAGGGAAGTGATGATTAATTCTAAGAAGAAATAACAGCATAATGATTGAAAAGAGTATGCTGTGTTCAGCATTGTATGTGTGTTGCTGTTTTCCTTTTTACTGTATGTTTATATTCTTTATAAGTTATATATCATACCTTTAGCATGTTCACCCCTGTACACTCCCCCCTCCCCCACTATCCCCTTTCCTCACTGCTCCCTCTACAATTATTTCTCTTTATTCCCTTAGATGGTTTTGTGTCATGATGTATATGAGCATAATTTTACAAATCCAGTAACCACAAATATAAAAAAACAGATATTTGTCTTCATGACTTAAACTCATTTAATATGATTACCTCCAGTTATATCTATTTTCCTGCCAATGACTTAACTTTGCTTTTTTGGGGTTTTTTTTTCGCCTTTGGTTTTTTAAAACAGGGTTTCTCTCTATTGTTTTGGAGGCTGTCCTGGAACTCACTTTGTAGAGCAGGCTGGCCTCAAACTCACAGAGATCCGCCTGCCTCTGCCTCCCAAGAGCTGGGATTAAAGGTGTATGCCACCAATGCCCAGCAACTTTGTTCTTTTTTATGAGTGAAAAAATTTCATTGTGAGATTCAGTACTTCCCTTATTCATTCATACTTTTGTGGGATGCCTAGGTTTGTTTTACGACCTGGCTACTGTAAACAATGCTTTACCAAACACTGATGTGGAAGTATCTCTATTATATATTATCTCAGCCTTCCAGGTAAGCACACAAGAGTGGTCTAGCTGAGTCTTACAGCTAATCTCTTTTCAGTGTTTTCAAAAAAATATAAGAAGAAATCTTCCATAGGGTCTGGATGAGTTTATGCCTTGCACCAGCAGTTCATAAGTATACCTGGTCAGGACTGGATATTTATTTTCAGGGTTTTTTTCCCTAATTTT